AAAGAGATACGTCAAGCTAGGGTTAGTGTACGAACTTGAAATTTTTCTTGCAACAGTGACTTGCGGTTATTGAAAAGTCTCGAAACATGTATTGTATCGTATGAACCTATACTCATAATAATGAAGTATGGTCGATAATATACGTTCACACATTTTCAGAAACAGGAGACTGACATAATTCAGCCAAGCCTTACCGATTGTCAGCTGCTAAGGCGGTAGCCCGTTATTAACTGTTAAGAATCTTCGATTTCTAGTCGAACGTGACTGAAAAAAGATCCGTTCTTTAACACAGTGAATTATTCCTGATTTCAAAGTGGGAGTCGTTTAGCTGAGCATAAGCATATATTAAACAACCTCTTTTATGCTAGGCGAATAAAAATATGATGAAAAAAGTTGTTTGAACTGGAAGTCTGATTTGTACTTTGCAGTAGATTTCCTGAAAAATATGACTTTTTTCAGTAAACAGTTTATGAATCGACCTACTGACAAATTAAATTTACCATTCCATTAAAATTAGTCTGTTTAATTTCATCCTGCCAAAAGTCGCACAAGTGAACCTTTTCAGTAAACTAAGCACGACAGCGAGAATACATAAAACACCAATTGAGGGACTGCCTGTTCGGAGCTAATAATTTTCCACATTTTGCAATTCCTTGATCTTCTTTGCGTAATTGGTGCTGATAAGGGTTCAGACCACTTCGAAGCAATGTTGAGCCAGGCTTACTGAGGGAAATTTACTGGATTGCTTCAACAAAGTACCTGATTTCTGTCTTTGATCATTTCATGCTACTTCCAGAATTCTACTATATTCTCTGCTTTGATAATTTTTTATGCTGTCTTCAAATATGTTACGAATGCTTGTTTATTTCTTTTTTTTGCAATGTGTGGCTTCAGTTCTAGGCTACCTGAGCGAAACACAACTTTTGATGTGTCTTCAGAATTATGGCCTTTATCCCGGAAATGTCAGGTGCGCAATACTCTCAGCGTTAATATAGATGATATAATGACTTTTTTTAGTAAACTTCTGCAAATGCTGGACAACTTCATGTTGCAGAGTCCTGATTTCGCTGACCGCTATTATGACGACCTGAAAGCCATTCATGTATATGTCGTGTCCTACCGTAGTCTTGGCGCTGTTGGAGGCGAACGCTATCTCGAGTGGTACGACAGAACCGGCCCTGAAGATATTAAGCCAGGTTTGCATCTCTTCTATTCATTTATGTTTGGCACTCAAGTCACTTCGTTTACTGTAGCCAAAAATACGCTGCGGCGCTTAATGTGCATGCTTCTCAGTTGCGTGACTGAGATTGGATCCCAAATCCGAAACCAAGATGAACAAGCAGCGTACTTTAAACTTGCGAAAAATTGAACATTCCCTAACAAACGTCTTAATTTCTTTAGATATGGATAAAGGTATTTCATGGCCCTCGTCACAAATTAATACCTACGCTGGCCTTAAGTGCTCCTGACCGAGTTCAGGAATGAGCTGTTCTTTAGGTTCTCATTCCCATTCGTTTATTAAGTGACACCTTTAGTTGTCGTTGCCGAACTTCCCGGCTCTCATAGCTACGGTAGAGAATTAGAATCTTCTTCCTTCTTATTAAATGCAATGCTTTGCAAAGCATGTGCATGAAACTTCTGAAGAAATATTGAAGGTGAAAATTCACTAAGCCTTCGAACCTAAACACATTTATTGTACTAATGATTTTATTTCTGCATCTCAAGAAACAGTAACTGATCAGCGTTAAGGAACGATTGTTGTCAAACCTGTGGTGAATAACCGTTTCACTAATGGTGCCCAGTTCAAGCAGGAAGTAGTTAAATATTCCAACAATGTCAACCATGTCTTTCAATAGCGTTTATTTTGAAAATGTTAAAAATACTCTATTTCAGCTAAGCAAGTGTTAGTCACTCTGAGTTTTTATATAATGCTTTTTAATTTCCGGTTTACACCTTGAACTGATGCAACCTGCTATGAAATTCGTCAAAGTGAATTTTGGCCGTAAGAGGCAACCGTCGTACTGCACGTCCGTTCGTCTCGTGTACTCGAACATGACCGCGTCAAAACACCATTTGGGCGGTCACGGTTGTTCGCAGGTCTGTAATGTCCTACCCGTTTCTCTGCTGGTTGCACCCCAACATCTTCATCCAGTGTCATCTTCATCTTGCATGACAGCTTCTCTTTTTGGATCGCGGAGTACACATATTTACTCTGTGGATGCACCCATCCGTGGTGGGAATAATTTCAACTTTAGGTGAATGTGCGGTTAACAACAAACACTGTTTTGTGACCTCTGCACCTTTAAATTCTAAAGCCAACTACTTTTACACCTCGTCATTGTCCTCGGCAGAATGACGTTTGATAGTAACGTTAAACAAGGTTCTATTCATAATGGGTTGCATATAACTAATATTAGTATTGAGAAGAGAAACGAAATTCAATCATTCCTACTTTGGCTCACATGATGAAGGAACCAGCCTGGCTTGCGGGTAGGTGTAAATAGCAACAGCTACCTCAATTTACCTACCGCTTAAGGTGTGCATGTGCGATTCGATTTTATTGTTCCTTATGCTTAATGATATCGCCATTTCTCAAATATTTGAACAGTAAAACGCACTCATTCATTTGCACTGACAAATCAGCTTCTAGGAAATTAATCACAGCAGTTTTTGTACTGAAGAGGCTAAAGTGCTTTGTAAAGGTTTTCTTTAGCTTTCAAATACATTATAATATCAAAAATAGCGTAAGTTGCTGTGCTTATTCTTCATCTCATATGTAAAGTACCTCATGGAGCATAGCAGATTCACGACTTTTTTATCTGTATTCGAGGTTTGAAATTTGATACATATTCCGAATGAATCGTATGGCTTTTACAATTCGCCTGATGATCAATATGCCTGATTGTTATTATTTTCGGTTTGGAAATCAGATGTTACAGTTGTTCAAATAGCTTGTTAACGACTTTGTACTACGTAATACATTAATTACGTAAATGACCATGTCGATCTGTTATCAACCACTGTTTATCGTCATAGCCCTTCACGAAATCTGATGAGAAATGTTCATTTTGTATTTACGTATAAATACCTACACCGTAATGTATTCATGACATATCATTCCTGTTAAGAGCCTACATTGTTGAAAGACGGTTTTCGACATTTAAATTCATTTTAAAACTTTGAATTCTTTCAGTTATATCGAAAATTGCGACTGGCAACGATGAACTGAAGGAGGCGATCGAAATGAAGGATGAATCGATCGACGATCCGACGATGATCAAAGTGATTTCCGCGAAGGATGTAAATGAAATTTTCAGTGCAATGTTTTTTGGAAGCGGCGTAAAAAAAGTCGAGGCGTGTGCCGCCATTTCGCGAGTTATATCGACTCTTCTTACCCCGACTTCGCTCGTGTCGTCTTCCACGTTGCCGATGCTCGTTGTCAACTGGCTATCGCGAAAACTGTCACAGTCTTCACGACTGTCGCGTGCGTTAAAGGATAATCAGGTGCCTTCGCTGTCCCTGTTTCGATCGCTGAATCTGGTAAAAGATGTGAGTATCCTTCGTTGTTTTTACTGTATTGAAACATTTACATATTTCTTAATTTTTTTCCTGTCTTCGCTAATCTATTTTACACAAACGAACATTTTGACTTGCATCATGCGTTTGTCAGACACCTTTTAATTTTATTTTATTCGATTACAAATATTCAAATTGTACTATAACTTTGTCCACGGATATTGTTGTGTCCAGTACCTCACTTCCTTTGTTCTGTAGCTTTGTCTTCTGTCAAAATATTTTAAAACTCGGTTTATTGAATTCGTTTTTGAAGAACCTAGGAACGTAGTATCGTCCGTTTGATCTTGACATTCTTTTTACCATTTTGTTTTATCACAGTCAGTTCATAGATGCCTTAAACTCTAAAAATTCTCAAAGCAGCGAAAGAATCGCTCTTTGGCTATAAAACACGGATCAGTGTTTTAAAATCTGTGTAAAAGGTAAGCTTTCACGGATCATGTCTTGTATCTTCCGCCAAATAAAATGACAAATCAAGTATGATGAAGCAAAAATTCATAGCGGTGCAGAAAGTGTCTGCAAACGTGTCAAGAATGCAGCCTGTTCGGAAGACCTTATTTGTTTATTACATGTAATATTCGCATCTATCCGTTGACGGAAATTCACCATTGAGCTGTTGCGTATGCAAAAATCTACAAAGGGAGAACCTCATCATGATAAGTGAAGACCATTGGGACTGACTGATGCAGTGACTATACATACAATGTGTACTAAAACTTATGACTAGAGATGTTCAGCAATAAAATAATGATTTTCTCGTCATGAGGTCTTATGCTTCTTCCTATGCACTGCAACGGTGGCTAAATGCCATTCAGCCATGACCTGTTTAAAGCCTCTCCCAGACGACTAGAAACACGGAACAGTTTATGACTACCATCCAGCTTGGTGTAATGATTGTCATGCGTCTTACGTTACCGCTGTAATGCTCATAAGTAAGTAACCTTCATCTTCATCTTCCATCGCCGCTTCTCCTTTCCGGTCGCGGAGGCACACGCGCCAGACAGTGCTTCCAACGTTCCCGATCCTGTGCCAGAGT